GGCAACCAAATTTCAGATCACAGGGTAGGCGCACTTCCCGTCCCATAACGATGCTGGCTGGAGTTTGCCCTGTAGATTCTTGGACGGATGAACGGTAGGCCAACAGGAACAGGTGAAGAAATTTGTCCCAGTCTCTTTGGTGGTCAGCGACTACTTTGGCCAGATAACGGTTGATAGTTCTGTTCATGCGTTCAACCATCCCATCGGATTGTGGATGTAGAGCAGTCGTCCTGCTCTTGCGGATGTTCAGGACTTCACAGACGCCTTGAAACAGATTGGACTCAAAGTTTCTTCCCTGATCTGAATGAAGCTCCATGGGAACACCAAACCTGCAGATCCATTCTTTAACAAGGGCATCAGCAACGGTGGACGCTTCTTGATTTGGTAACGCGTACGTTTCGACCCATTTGCTGAAGTAATCCATTACTACCACAATGTATTTGTTGCCATCGTTCGTCTCCGGGAAAGGACCAGTCACGTCGATCGCTATTCGTTCGAAGGGACTGCCAACATTGTACTGGCGCATAGGGGCTTTACCACGGTTTTGTGGCCCATTGATGGCTGCGCAAATGTCACATTTCTTACACCAGACCCTCACATATTTGCAGTTCACCCAGTAGAACCGTTCACGCAGCTTGCCAAGTGTCTTGGTAACACCAAGATGTCCACCGCTGGTTCCATTGTAAACTTCCTCCAAGACTTCTGGGATCCTCTTCTTTGGAATGACGATCTGCCTTCTCACTTCTTGTCCCTCCGGTCTCTGGATCACACGGCGAAGTAGTCCGTTATCTATTACCAAGGAATTCCACTGAGCCCAGTACGACTTTACGTTCGGCGAATATCTGCAAACTTCTTCTCACGTTGGTCTCTGGCCTGCGTTTTTCCAGTTAATTACTAAACCTAATTCTGGGTCACTGGTTTGGTCATTTGCAAGATCTTCGGGTTGCCAACTATCATTAACCACAGTTGTTCTTAGGAGTTTCACTTCTTTCTCTTCTGCTCGGGAACAATGCTTACAGTCCTTAGCGCAAGGTCTTCTGGAAAGTGCGTCGGCATTTCGATGGATTGCCCTAGCTCGATGTTCTCTGTCGAAGTCAAATTCTTGTAATCGTTCAATCCATCTAGCTACCTGCCCTTCAGGATTCTTAAACTGCAACAGCCATTTCAAAGCAGCATGGTCTGTTCTTAACAAGAACTTTCTTCCATAGAGATACTTGTAGAAGTGTTCCACTGCTTTAACTACTGCTAGTAATTCTCGTCTGGTTACACAGTAGTTCCTTTCCGGTTTTGACAAGGTCTTACTAAAATAACCAATGACTTTTTCTTGACCATCCTGGATCTGAGACAGAACAGCGCCTAACGCAACATTGCTAGCATCGGTATCCAATATAAAGTTTCCGTTGCCAAGAGGCTAGCTAAGTATAGGCGCACTAGTCAGGGCCTTCTTCAATTTTCGGAATGCCTCGTCAGAATCTGAGTCCCAAGAGAAACGCCTCTCACCTTCGGTAAGTCTGGTCAATGGTTTTGCGATGGTGGCGAAATCCTGTACATAGCGGCGATAGTATGTGCATAGTCCCAAAAAGCTTCGTAGTTCATGTTTATCTTTAGGTATCGGCCACTCTTCCACTGTCTTGGTCTTCTGTGGATCTACCGCAACTCCTTGGGAGGAGACTACATGGCCCAAGTAGTGTACCTTTTCTTGAAACAGATGACATTTCTTGGGGCTAAGTTTCAAACCAGAGCTCCCTAGTCGCTTGAAAACTTCTTCCAAATTTTTCAGATGACCGTCAAAGGATTTCCCAACCACTATGATGTTATAAACATACACTAAACAGGTAGTCCAGGATAGTCCCTTTAACACAGACTCCATTAGTCTCTCAAAGGTAGCTGGCACGTTGCACAATCCAAAAGGCATGACGGTAAATTGCCACAGTTCGGAGCCCACCGAGAACGCTGTCTTCTCTCTGTCTTTCGGCGCCATGTCGACTTGCCAATATCCACTCTTCAGATCTAACGTAGAGAATATCGTTGACCCCGCCAGCGTGTCTAGAGTATCGTCTATCCTCGGCAGGGGATAGCTGTAACATTATTGAGCTGCCGATAATCAACACAGAACCTGGTGGTACCGTCTTTCTTCTTTACTAGTACTACCGGCGATGTCCACGGGCTGTTAGATGGTTCGATAATACCCTCTTCTTTCATTTCTCGAAGGTTCTTGTCAGCTTCTTCACGTTTGGCGAGCGGAAGTCTTCTTGGATTTTGTTTGATTGGTCGTGCATCTCCGGTATCAATTTTATGTTGTACTAAATTGGTACGACCTCTCTGTCCTGCTTCTTCTTTATCAAACACATCTTGATACTTGATTATCAGGTTTCTCAATTTTCTACTATTTTCGGGAGATAATCCCTTAACGTTTAAAAACTCCTTCACCATTTTGTCCGGAATTTTTGAAGTCGAAACTATGGAGGCTTTCACGCTTCGAATGACTGAGGAGACCGAACAACAGTACCCTAAAAGGGTTCCCTTCTTCAAGGATACAGAATAATAATTCGTGTTCATTACTCTCACCGGTACAGTCTTCTTCGCTCGTAGCAGGGCTTTTCTAACAGCAACCCCTCGTCCTATTTCGCTGTCATGGTTCCTTGGCTCCAACAGAATAATACTCCCATTATTCATTTTACCTTCCGAACAATCCCTTCCACGGATTCGTCGGAACATTCGTCGATGGCCCGTACTCTTCCTAAATACCGAGAACTTTGTTTCGCGGCCTCGAATTCTAGGACACGTGCTAAAGCATCCACCAAGTGCGTTGGGTGGGCTAGGAGAAGTGCTTGTCTTGTCTCGTTGTCACGTAAGTCGTCGGAGAATGCCTGTACTGCCAACCGCTCCATAACATTCTCGGGCGTAGCAGGGTACGCAAGGCGAACGAGGCGGGCTACGTCGGCTTCAAACTCCTGCAGAGACTCATTTGACTTTTGAATGCGATTTTTTAGCTGGCAATGATAGACATGTTCCAAATGAGCTTGGCCGTACCTCATTTCTAAATGTCGTACCAATTGCTGATAATCTCCTTGTTCCGATGGTGACAGTGTCTGCAGGATGTCAGTCGCATCTCCTCGTAGTGCGACAGTCAAAGCGGTAGCTTTTTCAGCGATTGTCCATCCGTTCGCTCTCGCAGCGGCCTCAAACTGGCAAAAATAATTGGCCCAAGCGGTTTTTCCGTCAAACTGTGGAGGCTTAATAACTGACTTTGAGATATACTTATTTTCGACGAGTGTCGGGTCCTTCGATGATTCTTGACATTTTGGTGAATTTGCTTTTGCTATTTGTTCTTTCAAAATTTCGATTTTTCTATTTACATCTTTCTCAATCTCTGTTATTTTGTCTTGTATATCTATTATCTTTTCTTCTAATTCCTGTATTTTATTATTAAAGCTGGCCTGTATATCTTTAGAATTTTCGATGATCTTCTAATGTATTGATTAAATCCTGGGAATTTTCCATAATTTTATCACTGATTTTAGTATTCAAACTTTCTTCTAAATTAATTATCTTACTGTTCAAATTGTCGTTTAAATTTTCTTGCAAATTTTTCAATGACGAGTCAAAAAAGATCACCTTCTAACTCAAAACAAAATGTGTCAGGATCCTCACCTTCCTCGATCAGAACATCTCTTAGTCTTGCTTGTAAAATGCTTTTTTCCCATCTGTCTCACATTCTCTCTCTTCCAGTATGCATTTTAATTCCGACACTTTCAAGTCCTTCAACAATTTTTTCGAAGCCATTTTCAGTCTTATTTATTTTTATCACACACCCCACACCTGACACCAATTGTTACGTTTTTTTCTTCGGTTCCGTGTGGATAGAAAGTCACAATTTATTTAAACACTATTTATTTAACACTAATTAACAAAAACAATAACGATAAAAGATTTATAGAACTATTTACAAACGATTTATAACTAAGAATTTATTTTGAATTTTAGCGCGTCAACTGCACTTGTCTATTTATAACTGCCCTCTCTAGGCCACAGCCGCCGGCTTTTATACCTACAGCTAAGAAATCTAGAATAGTCCATAGATCGTTAGGTGCATAGAAAAGGTTTCGAATGTTCTCGTATGTACTACTCCATTCCAGTGTACTACTCCATTCCACTCGATACTTCTCGAATCTTCAAATGAATCATTACGGTGTCTATGCGATGTTAAGGTCATCCGAGGGCGGGCCATATTGTTAGGTTAGGTCGAGTCCACACCGGTCCGCAACAAGATAAAAAATACATTTAGCCACTCTGTACGAATATCAATATTCTTAGGAAATCTAACTAGAAAGTATGCATGTGGCTTAATATAAATAAAAGAACGACTGAATACTTTATTTGCCTATGAAAAGATAATTCGGGGACCTTTATAATTAGAACTTTCACACACTAAACAGTTTCTAGTCATTTTTACGAGTATTTAGAAAGTTCAACGAAAAAAAAGGAATATAGTTGCATAAACTTAAAATTAACTTCACACTGAACACACTTGCATCCTTGGCTATATAAAAGTGGTAAATAAAAGAGTAATAAATACAATTTTTAAAATAAAAAAAAACAAAAAATAAGCGTCGTTACACAACCAAAATAAGATTATGACAATATGATGACATTGAAAAGTTGGTTTCCATAACAATGTATAATTTGTACTTTCTAAACCGTATAAAATTGTTATTATTTTGGAAATACGTGCCACTTTTAATGCGTATGCGCAAAGTAAGGTCCTCGAGAAAGACAAACCTACTGAACGTTTCATAACTGCAATAAAGAAGGTTTGAAAATGGCATGTCGTGATGTTGGAGATATATTTTTTAATGCTAAACTTATGGCGTTGATTTATCCACGTAAGTATATATGATCTAGGTATTCGACAAATAATAATAATGATGACGTAACGGTGAACGATGGTTGAACTGTATTTTACTTTTAAATTTATTAATATATCATCATGATTTCAGATTGAGGAATATCCATCATTTTCTGTAAACTATCGCGAGATTGTCCGTAACTTAAAGTTTCTAGATAAATTAGTAATAAAAATGACATTTGCTTTAGAAAATGTTGACTATTCAATTGTTGGTATGGATGCAGTTTTTAAATGTAGACGATTTCAATCGATGGTTATGTACGGTAATGTAGCGATAAATAATAGTTTATATACTGAATTCCTAAATTTCCTAATATTTTTAGTAAAGTGTGCCGAGGAAAAGCTAGTTCCTTTAGGACATACTTCATTTTTTCCTGGCATATCGCTACTCCAGCTATCATGGAACAGACTTAGTAGATATCAACATTCTGTCTGGTATGATGTGAAAGCCGCCGAGGCAAGTGAGACAACATGACAATATACAGGGTGATCCAGATATGCTCTATATCAGATTTTCGGTTCAGGATTTTTACTCCAATCTTTTATTATTTATCATCTTAAAATGTACAGACAATAATTTTAAAATTGCATTTAAAAGTATTTACACAGCGGTGGCGTACAGTGCAAATCAAAGGAGGGTCGGCAAAAATTGACAAAATAATAAAATAAGAATAGCATAATTAATTCAAAATAATTATTGTTTTATATAAATTAGTATTTTTTTTTCGATTTGGCGATTTCGTACAGGACTTTTATCCCGCGCGTCGCCGACTAAATCAAACCACGCCGTTACTTCCTTATTATCTCTTTCTTACACATTCAGCGCGGTGGTACACAGCGCGTTTTTACGGTTGCCGCAGAAACGCACGGCGCGACACGTACATCAAACAAGAACAATTAAGAGCTCTAAGGGCGCTTTCACACTCACCGGCAAAATCGATGCCGGTACCGGTGCTGAAATCGTTTGCAATATATATAAATTAGCTCCTTCACATACAGGGTCCGGCAATAGTGCATCGGGCATCTGTAGGTCCTAGAATAAAAAAACTTGAGAATTTTTTCGTACCAACCGCGGCACCGTCTATTCTATATTTTCCATCCGTTACCTACAGAAAAAAAAATAAAGGAGCAACAGTCTAAACTTTATGTTGCATTCATCGATCTAACAAAAACCTTCGACTCTGTGAACAGAGATGCGCTTTGGGCAATTATGAAAAAGTTCGGAGTACCCAACAAATTTCTTACAGTGTGCAAAAGCCTCCATAACAACAACAAGTCAAGAGTGTCACATAATGGATCACTGAGCGACCCATTCCTAACAAATAGCGCCTTAGCGCCTCTCCTGTTCAACATATTCATGGCAGCGCTCTCCATTATAGTGGACAGCAAACTGCAGGAGAGACGATTGGGCATTAGATACAGATACGACGGCGCGGCGGTCTGTTCAGCATAAAAAGACTCAGGGCAAAAACATGTACAAAATTCATCACAGAACTTCAATACGCTGACGACTGCGCTCTTGTTGCAAACACGGTACAACAATTACAAGAAATGTTGAACACATACCTGGGCATACGAGGCTTTGGGCCTTAAGCTAAACATCGACAAAACTAAAATCATGTGCACTCCCCCGGAAGATCACAACAATGCTATAAAAATCGGAGAAGAACTATTGGAATATGTGGCGGAATTCAATTAGCTTTGCAGTTTGATTTCGGAAAAGGCCAATATTGACTCCGAAATTCAGCACAGGATTAGTAGCGCCTCAAGAGCATTCTGGAAATTAAAAGACAGATTTTTCTACAATCATGACCTGAGTACAAAAACAAAAACTTGCAGTGTACCGAGCAATTATAATCCCCACTATGTTATATGGGAGTGAAACCTGGGTGCCGTACCGCCGACACATGAACGCATTAAACAAGTTGCAACAGAGACACCTTAGACAACTCTTAAGAATCCGGTGGTTCGATCATATCGTAGTCTCAAACGTATCGGTCAGCGTTGTTACAAGGGCAAAATTTTTTGTACTATAAATGGTGTCGAAATTGTACTTTTTTAAGTGGGATTGTACATTTTTGGTGCAAAAATGTGGGGTCATGTGATCTCTCTATTTACCTTTTTACCAAGTTTTGGTACGTAGGGTGCATCCACACTATCCTAAAAACAGCGGAACGGCGTATTGGCTTAACGACCTTGAATCGATTTCCTGCAATTCTATTGGCTGAAATTTTGGCCAGGTGAATTTGACAGATAAAATTTCTGACAGATGAATTTTTCAGCCAATAAAATTGCTGGAAATCGATTCAAGGTCGTTACGCCGATACACCGCCGCCGATCCGCTTTTTTTAGGATAATGTGGATGCACCCTCACAGAATTATAAACCATATGCTGTCCTTATTTCACGCAGTTGAGCAGCCCTGAACTGTTCAAGAACGCGATACTCTCCCTCCATTCAATTGAGTCATAAAGTTCAGAACTGGTTCTGCGCCATAGCGAACCAGGCTATCTCGCACAGCTCCTTTCAGAACCGTTCTGAGCAACCCAGGGCGTAAAGATCTGGAACTTGAAATTCGCAAATGGAGGACAGCATGATACAAAGAAAACAAGGTATGATCGATAGCGGCTCCAATTTCGTTAACTTTGCGCATACCACCTGTGACGTCATACGCCATACAAAAAAATATCCATATTGTTCAATAGCCACTAATAAAAAAAAGACCTAAAATAGGGAAGAATTAGGACATAACCCCAAAAGTTATGTCAAATCATCTTGCTTGGCATTTGAAAAATTATTGTCACATTTAATGTGTCATCTGTTTGACAATTTGAAATTGGCGCGCGGAGCTTGCCGACCAATGGTGCCGTTTATCACCTGTGACGTAGTGACCAACCTGCGCAATATCATACCTTGTATTCTTTGTATCATGGGAGGACAGCAATACAGAAGCTACAAAGAGCTTTGAATAGCATTGGTTAAATGGGAACTAATTGCGTGACATCACGTTTGACATCGGGACACAATAGATCTCTAAGGTCGCAGTGATTAGCCCCCCTCCTACTCACCGCATGGAAACTTAGTTTGACATCCGTGCGGCTTGAACAGCATTTCAAGTTATGTATAATACTTGTGTCTAGCCCTATCAGGCAACTATTAAGCCCGACCAATCACGTTAGAGTTTTTGACAAACACAAATGAATTAACACACCTCAAATAACCACACTAACCAACCTGATTGGTCAAGCTTAAAAGTTGACTGCTAGGGCTAGACACTTCTTGTATAATTCTGTGCCTCTGCTCCTAGCGACCTGCATTTCAAATCCACGCATCGCGTATCACCGTTCGTCTAAAAATATGTACGTGGGTTTAAGTTTGGGTTAGTTTGGGTTTGAGAAGTAAGAATTGTACATTTTTTCTTGCAATTGTACCTATGTACTCCTTGACTATCAAATGTACCCAAAATAGTACAATTGTACCTATTGTAACAACACTGGTATCGGTCCTTGAAAAAGCTAACTGCGAGAGTATTGAAGTCATGGTTACAAAAAAGCCGCTTAAGATGGACTGGTCACGTATGCAGAATGCAAGAAAAACAACCAAAATCTCTGCTTTACGGTGAGCTTGCAGACGGTAAGAGGAAGCCGGGTGGACAACTGAACAAGGACATTTTCCACGAAAACTTAAAGGGACTTAACATGCAGAATGAGTGGGAAAAAGCAGTTCACAATAGAACTCAATGGAGAAGAGTTGTAAACTCAGTTAACAGTGACAACCAAAATGTAAAGAGGCAACAAAGCAATGAAATTTTTGAATGTCCGGAGTGCGGTAGGCAGATAACATCAAGTATCGGGCTTTTCAGTCAGAGAAAAGCTCATGAAAGAAAACGCCTTACGTGACCATCTTCTTTATGTGTGTCGAATACTCGTCAGCGAGTAACGGCTGTTATGTTATGAGATTTTTTTTAAGTGCAAACCTAAATTATGCGCCAGAATGTATTTCAGGAAAATATTTTAACTTCTATAGGGTGGCTCTAAAAAGTGAGTGGACCTGGATGATTTTTTGAAAATAGAACACCCTGTATACTATTGCATTTTTGGCTTCCTTTCAGATCACTTTACATAATCCTAAGATATGAATAAATATATTTTGATAGTTTCAGAGATATTAAAAAGTAAATCAAAAATATATATTTTTCAGCCTTTCTTAAAAAAATATTAAAAATACAAGAACTGTTCTGAAATCAAAATTATATTAGGTATTTACTTTAGATGGTCTGTTCTTACTTTGCTATAAATATGGTAACCGTAAATCATACAGGATGTTCAATATTCTACGCCAAACTTTCTAAAATATAAAATATTTTTCTTTGCTTTTTTTTTTAAATGGAACACCCTGTATATCATTTTTTAAAAGACTGCTAAGTTAAAAAATGAACATTTTTTGTATTTAGAGTATTTCAAAATTTTTAACGGTTTCGCAGATACACGCAATATTATTTCATATGGCGCTTTTACTGGTAAAATACGAGAGAAAAATCATTGGGTGGCTTTAATAAAAATTTACTGTGGAAAATGCCATATAAAATACAAAACCGCAAATATCTGCGAAACCGTTAAAAATTTTAAAATACTCTAAATACAAAAAATGTTCATTTTTTTTAATTCTCCGTCTATTGAAAAAATAATATACAGGGTGTTCCATTTAAAAAAACGGAGAGAAATTATTTTATATTTTAGAAAGTTTGGCGTTGAATTTTGAACATCCTGTATGTTTTACGATTTCCATATTTATAGCTAAGTAAGTATAGACCATCTAAAGTAAATACCTAATATAGTTTTGATTTCAGAACAGTTCTTGTATTTTTAATAATTTTTTTAAGAAGGGCTGAAAAATAAATGGCACATCCGCCACGATATCAGGGAAAAATACTTTTTATTTTTTTTTTAATATATATATGTATATATATAGGGTCCGGCAATAGTGCGTCGGGCATCTGTAGCTCCTAGAATAAAAAACTTGAGAATTTTGTTTAAGTGCAAACTTAAAGTATATACCATGATGTATTTCAGGAAAATATTTTAACTTCTATAGGGTGGCTCAAAAAAGTGTGAGTGGACCTGGATGATTTTTTTTTAATGGAACACCCTGTATATTATTGCACTTTTGGCTTTCTTTCAGATTACTTTACATAACTCTCAGATATGAATAAATAAATTTCGATAGTTTCAGAGATATTAAAAAATAAATAAAAAATATATATTTTCCAGCCCTTATTAAAAATACAAGAGCTGTTCTGAAATCAAAACTATTTTAGGTATTTACTTAAGATGGTCTGTACTTACTTTGCTATAAATATGAAAATCGTAAATCATACAGGATGTTCAAAATTCTACGCCAAACTTTCTATAATATAAAATAATTTTTCTTTGTTTTTTTTTAAATAGAACACCCTGTA